ACAATTTGATTTGACGAAAGTCACTAGACCTATTACTCTCTATCCAATCACATTGATGGATAAAAATAAAATTAAAATAAGCATGTAACGACCACAAACGGAGGAGAATAGTGGAGTAAAAGTACCGATACATCACTTAAAATGTACTCAAGTAAAAGTAAAAGTACACAACTTTTAAACTACTCAAAAAAGTACAATTACTGATAAAAACTACTTAATTACTGTAACGTGAGTATTTGTAATTCGTTACTTCAGACCCCTGCTAACATCTCACTGCATTATTACAATTAATGGCACAATGAATGTTTGGAAATGTAAACTGATATGTAAACTACTGTAAAGTATTTTATTAAATAAAATTTGCATTTCTATATTAATATTATTTAACAAATTATTGAAAATGTTTGTAATTTTTAAAATATCATTATCAGTATTTTTTAAATATTATTTTGAAAACATTTTTAACTGTATTAATGCAGTGTAAATGCAGCCTCTTCAGTGCAAAGATGGATATTGTTGATACTAATTTAATTTGGTTTGTTACGGCTCTATAGTGTCTTATTATTGCACTTGTTGAACTTAATTAAATGTAAAAATCTGACACAAAAGATGATCCGTCTAAGAATGTTACAAAATGCTCTTAAAAAGGTCAAAATGCCCCTGGAAAAAGTTTGTGGTAAATCTCACCTGTTAATAAAAACATTAATTTCTGTCACTGCTGTGAATTAAATATGAGGAATATGAGTCAGCTGACACGACACGCCTAAACCAGCTCAAAAACACATCTAATGATCATCATTTTTGGTCTGTATTGCACACCTGTTGTTTCTGAGTGGTTTGAAGGCGTCTGACAACATGTGATATTGATGAACAGGGGCATTTTGCAACATATATTGAATTCTAGGGTCATTTGAACTGCATTCTGGTTATTTCTGACACAATATTATCTACTTCTAAAAATTCCTGACTGAGCGACACGTGCTGGTGTTTCGTTCCTGAACAAATCAGCGTTTTTGAATAATTCAATTAACTTATAATAGCGAGTCACTTGCTTGGTTTCTGAATGAATCGGTTGAATGAATGATTCAACGACTCGCTTATTAAGAAAGTGGTTTCAATGAGACACCACACGCCTAAACCAGCTCAGACAAATATCATCTAATTATCATTATCGGAGGAATCTCAGAAGATAACTAGATGCCGTTGTTGTAGTGCTGTTTGTGAGTGGTTTGATGGCGTCTGACTGCGTCCTCTCGTGGCGTTCCCGCAGGAGCGCGTGGGGAATTTCCTGGCGGATTTCTACATGGTGAACGGCCTGGTTCTGGAGTCCAGGAAGAGACGCGAGCACCTGAGCGAGGAGGACATCCTGAGGAACAAGGCCATCATGGAGAGCTTCAGCAAAGGAGGAGGGAGTATCATCGAGCAGAGCTTCGAGGTCAGTTCGCTCACGGCCTCCAGCGGTTATGAAAATACAGTGATCCAGATAAAGCGATTATTCAGTCCCCTTTCTATCAGTGCGCTTTCGCTCCTCCATAAAAGCCCAATTTCACGTGCAAATCATGTAACGTGACTTTTGCAAAAAAATTAATTAAAAAAGCGTGAAAAGAACTTGCGCTGTTCCTCGAGAGGATTTCTGTGCATGCGCTCAGAGACAGAACAGACATATAAAGTCAATTTGTAGCTCAAGGTGCGCACCTAAACAGTCAAATACATGCAAAAATGTATCAAAATGCATACATAAACCCTCATTGGTTATGTAATAAATACGTGTGTAACAGTAAATTGAATCAGTGCGGCTCTTAAAGTGACAGCAGCCTAATCTTCCTGCTGCGACTGTGTGCTTAATATTAATCAAACAACAAAGACAAAGACATAATCACTCACTGCTCTTCACTGAACGACTTCTGTAGCTTTTGTAGAAACAACGGAAGTTTAATTCTTACAGTGAAGACTGTTTTATTTTAGATTTGATTATTAATTTCTGTAGTAGGCCGTTAACTGAATACTTCAGAATTGCAATAGCCTTTAAGCACAGTTTGTTTCATTTGTATCTTTTTAGTCTGTCGCATTTGTCCTTAGCTTTTTTAGTACTTGGTGTTTAGTTATTTTCAATAATTTTTGTGTTTGTTTTTTACCCTAGTATTCTGAGAATTGTGGAATTTCTCTCAAATCTAGACGTCATATGATGTGGATTATTGCGATGAAGCATAAAAGCGCAATAAGACCTCCGACTGTCAGTTTAACTGGAGGCGTTTAGTTTAATGCTGAGCTGAGGTTGATTGTGCAGCGCCCCCTGCTGGTGATGACTCTCGTACGGTGTAAACCACAGTCAGGTTTTTGGCCTGAGAACAAGTGTTGCTCATTGATGAATCTTCTGTATTTGAAGCTTTGTGTCTCTGTGCTGTCACAGCCGGTGAGGCGTCAGTCGCTGACCGCTCCGTCTCCGAACACGATCTCCTGGGAGGAGTACATCACCGCCGAGACGGGAAAGTACGTCAGACCTCCATCATAAGCCCTGTTTGGACGGTAGTTGTTTCTCAGGGGGATGTAAGGGATTTTCATCATTTACAGCGGGGAGTCAGTGATTTTATTGCCGTCTGAATCCAGAATATCGGTGTTTATCTCTCATCACCCGTGAAAAAAATCCCCTGCCGAATAACCTACGTTTTTTTGACAAACACCAAAATCGTGCGGTAATTTAATTGCCGTCAGAATCCACATCTCTGAGTTTACGAGAAGAAATCAAATCACAATTCAGTGTTTAATACTTTTTTGGCTACTGCCAAACACTGTTGCCAAATGTTGCACTTCGGTGTAATTTGCATGCTGGAAATTATTTAAAAGAACAATATCTTATAACTCCTCCACCACAGCGACTCGTGGGAGCAGAAAGAGAAGAAAAGCACGTAAACATTCGAAATATGTCTTTATTATGACAGCAGCTGGTATGCAATACAATTTTAAAATGTGTATTATATTCAGTTATATATATATATATATATATGTACACGAGCGCTCAAAAGTTTGGGGTCAGTAAGACTTGTAATGTTTTTAAAGGAGTCTCTTCTGCTCATCAAGGCTGCATTTATTTGATCAAAAATACAGAAAAAACTGTAATCTTGTAAAATGTTATTACTCCAGCATAAAGTGTCACATGATCTTCAGAAATCAGTATAATATGCTGATTTATTATTAGAATTATCAACAGCTGTGCTGCACAATATTATTTTGGAAACTGTGATACTTTTTCAGGATTCTTTGATGAATAAAAAGTTAAAAAGAACAGCATTTGCAACCCTGATGAGCAGAAGTAAAAAACATTAAAGTCGTTCTGATCCCAAACTGTTGTGTATATCACGTATAATTATATTCAACTATATAATAGCTAAAGTATATATATATATAGTATATAGTCTATTTTCCTATTTTGAAACCAGCGATTTAAATAATCAAATACCAAATAGGATTACATATCATGAAATATGCTTTTATTTGACATCATAATACATATTTTAAAAATACATTTTACACAATAATAAGAATAAATCATGAATTTGATGTACAGCCCGGGTTCGCAGGATCACAGAACTCGCTTCTGAAGCGATCGCCACCCGAATCCACCAGTTGTATCACTGAGGTGATATGTAAATGTGTTTTTACAGACGTCCATATGAGAAACGGTTGCCGTCTGAACAGGGCTATACGCAAACACGAGCCGAACGCACGGCTCATGTCTGCTCTCTTCTAGGGCTCCTCATCTGGGCCGAGAGCTGGTGTGCAAAGAGAGCAAGAAGAACTTCAAAGCAACCGTAGCCATGAGTCAGGACTTCCCTCTGAGCATCGAGTCGTAAGTGTCCCGCTCTGCAGACTCCTGGCGACGTCCATGCGCTGTTTCTTACTGATCACGACTTGTTTTACAGGCTGTTAAATGTCTTGGAGGTCATCGCACCCTTCAAGCACTTTAATAAACTCAGAGAATTTGTTCAGATGAAGCTTCCGCCTGGATTTCCTGTCAAACTAGGTAAACAAATACACATCTCTATCCATCTTTATTTGGCCCTCTGACTCTAGCACTCTCTATTCTAATTCTGTTTTATCGATTTGTTTTCTTTTTTTATTAAACACTTGACCCTCTATCACTAGCACTCTCTATTCGTTTTCTAACGGCTTGTTTTTCTTTAAAGGGGTCATCGGATGCCCATTTTTCACAAGTTGATATGATTCTTTAAGGTCTTAATGAAAAGTCTAAAAGGCGACGATGAGAATGTTTCCACACATTCAGAATGGTTGCATTTTTCATTTGTATTTTGGTGCGTTTAGTGATTCTGAATGGAGCCATATAGTAGTTTATATGCAGTCCTTTGGCATCTCCCTGTGGTCTTGTTTGGTATTGCAGGTTGACCTAGTGCTTATTTGTTCAAATTACTGTGTAATTAAACTTTACGTACTTGTATAGAATATCTGCGGTGACATATTTGCAAAGTATGTTTGCAAAAAAGAACACGGAATGTTTGAATCTATCTTGAATGTTTTGTTTAAAAATAATTACATGTAATTGAAAAGTAATAATACTAGAATACAAATGTTTTTTAGTGAATAGAAAAGGCTCTTGGAGTAAAAAAGGTTGAAAAACACTGCTTTAGGTAAATGCAGGACCAGTTCTACGGGGGTACTAAGAATTGAACATTGTTATTATTATTATTAATAATAATTCAATTAATGCAATATAAAGTTACATCCAACAGCAGTGTCAATCAACAGTTGTGGGAGGGGCCTGGGTCTGTGTGACGTCACTCTGCCAAGAATCTGAGAACGGCTTGATCTGAGAAAGGGGATATGATTTATCGGGATTTAAAAAAAACTCTGGGTGGATTTTTATCATTATAGGGTGGTTGTGTACACACACTGCCAACACACATTTGTATTTGTGTGTATATATAGAAATATATTTGTATATATATATATGGATGTGTGTTGTGTGTGTGTATATATATATATAT